CGCGCTCCGACTGACGAACGCCGGCCCGCCGAGCCGCCTTTAAGCCTAAATGTCTCCGCCTGGAGGCGCCATGGGGCCGGCAAAGTTGGGAGGAGTGGGAGGGCTCCCCCGAGGGCTGCCAGGGAGCACACCGGCTTCCCCGCTCGGCTGGAGGGTGCGCCCCCGAAGCCGGCACTCGGTGGAGCATCTGGCACCTGCAGCCTCTGCGCCCTCGAAACCGAGTGCCCGCAAGGAGCTAGGCTGTTGCCCGAGGAAGGACGAGAAGGTGGTGGTCCTAGTGCCTAACCTAGAACCCAAAACTTTATGAACTTTTAAGATTTCGTGCACTTTCAAAGTTGTCCAGAACCCTTTTCCTCTCGCCTCCGGCTTTCTGATCCTCTAAACCTACTCACCCTGCGAATCCTGTGAGCGCATAGGGCTAGTTCTCCGACTTTGGCACCACAACGGGCTGTTCGTGGTGCAGGGTGCTGAAACAAGACGGCGGAGCTTGCCTGCGGGCGAGAAAGGGGCACATGAGAAAGTTATTGTTTAAAATAAAAAGGCTCGTCAAAGGTGTTCGTAATTCTGGTAAGTTTAGCTTTGAATTCCGCAGTGGGGCGCTGATGACTTTAAGGAGGTCTCTAAAAGCGGCAAATAGTTTTGCAGAACCTCGGAGGTGTTTGGTGTCTTAAAAGCAAAACCAAGTCTTCCTCCATCTTTTTACACCTTTATTTCCGACATTCAGGGCTTCCAAGATTCCCACCTGACCCTATCTCCAGCAGTTATCAAATCTTCAACAGCTGGTGTTTCATTTAGGAAACATTTAGGGTCAAGGAGAAGACGGCATTTTAGTAGAGGAAGGAACTTTAGGACTAGCAGAAGAATCGCGTTTCTATGTCCCAAAAAACCCTGGAGTGCAATTAAGGATGAGTAAAAACGGAACAGCGCCACTGAGATCGCTTCCTTCCGACCCCCTAACAAGCCTCTCCTGCCAGAAGTCTTGAGGGTTTGAGGGCTTCCATGTGCATTTTCACTTACTCTAGGGGGTTAGAGCGGCCTCCTCTTGCCTCCCCAGCAAACAAAGACCCTCCAGCACATCTACTCCAGTCCTTATTATGTCATGCATCACAGTATCAAATCATCTCATTTTTGCTTGAGAAAGTTATCGCTATTACACTACGTGGAGCCCTAGGGTCATGGTGTGTGACGCGCTGCGCCGTTAACGGAAAGGTCTAGGGTTTGAACCCATCAGCTGCTGCACATGACAAAGATGAGCAGTGTCCTCCTCTAATCATTTACAGTCTTGAATACCTGTTGATGGATTGCTACGAGCTGGAACGGGCTCAATGACAGTGGGCTATCATGCTACTTTACTTAAACATTTTTCACACATTTCTTGTTAGTGAGAATAAACATGCCAAACATTGACCAGTTCAACCATTTCTACATGCTCACTCAACTCAGTTGACACTCATTACATTCTTCAGGTTGTAATTGTTGAAATGTAATGATTGAAAATGGTTCTTTTCAGTCTCCTTTACTGATTTTTCTCCTTTTCCTCATTAATATAAACTCACTGCCTTTTTAAGTTCCTCTCTATCCTTTCTAGTTGCTGTTGTGGTTTAAGCATTTAGTTGTGGTTTGTTGTGAGTTTTTTTGGGGTGGTTTTTTTTTTGCTTTGTTTGTTTTTTTGGTTTTTTTTAAGCAGTATTGAACTTTTGGGGAAGAAATATCTCAAACTTCAGACCACCTGAAGGCCTGATAGTAACACCGAGATGGAATAGTAAGTACCCCAGTTAACTGGGGTTTGGGGGTTCAGTGGGGACATTAGGCCTCAACATCTTCTTCCCAGAAATGGCATTGAGTATCTCATACCAAGTGCTCAGTAAACATTAGCTACAGTTCACCTTGCCCCTTTTGCTCATGTATGGATTCTCCATGCCCATCCCTCTAAAGCTCTTGGTGACAATATATTTAGAGGTCAGTGTTTGACTTGGTAAGTGAACAAACACCTGGTTTCTATAACACTGTAAACCCTCGGGGCCCCAGACCACCTTTTTTCATATCTAGTGCAACATACTGCCCGTGTTGCCAAAGACCATCCAGCCAAATGTATACACTGCAA